GCCGCTTTCATCGCAAGGCTTTCCTCTTCTCTGTCCTCGTCTTCGGCGCCGAAAACCCATTCGGACATTCATTCGGATCTTTCGGATCCGCAAAACGCCTTTTCGTGGACTCTTCGCGCGCTTTTCGACGACTCGACGGACACTCCTATCGCGCGCTCTCTTCGCGCGTTCGCGGCGTTAACGCGAAGACCGGAAACGGAAACACTTTGCGAACGGAAGGAAACTCTTCGCGACTCTTCGCGCGTTCGCCAACTGCTCGACGAATGGGTTTTCGGCGCCGAAGACGAGGACAGAGAAGAGGAAAGCCTTGCGATGAAAGCGGCGCCAATGGGAGGCCTGTCGTGGCGCGTGGCGGTTGTCTTCGCGAACCTCTTTTTCGAGACCGGAAGTGAAGACGATTTGGCGCTCTTTTGGCGTCTTTTCGTGTCTCGCCTTCGCGTCCATTGGGAAGAGGCGTGTCTTCTGCCTCACTGTGAAGTCACGTGTTCTCCCGATTTGAGCGAAAGTCTGTTCGAACAGAAAATGCAATTTTTGCAGAAATGCTTAAAAGAGCGCAAAAAGGAAACGGAAGACGAGTTCTTCGACGCCACGGAAGACGCCGAGGAAGACAAAGGCCAACAGTGTCGCGGTCTGTATCTCCTTCACGCGCCCGACGAGCCGCTAATGATTCCGCGGACGCAAAACGCGCCGCCGATGACGGAAGACACGATTGCGGAACAAATGGCAGTTTTGCAGAGTTTGGGCTCTTCGGCGGAGTCGGCGAGGATTCGCGCGCGCATTCAGTCGGCGTCTCTCGCGTTTGATATGTCGGCCTTCAAAGCGGCGAACAATTCTTCGGCCGTTTTCGAGGACTTTATTCGCTGGCATTCGGCGCGAGATTTCGACGAAAATTGCGGACAATTATCGCAACGGTTTCGCGATTCCAACAATATTTGGCGCGAATTGTGGACAACGACTGACGCGACGCCTATTGAGCGCCAAAAGCCGTTATTCGACTTCACGCGCGACGCCGAGAAAGTGCTTCACTTCTTGTCTGCGCAGACGCTGTCGTCTTTGGCGTCGCTTTTGTCGCCAATTGTCGCCAAAGCGGCCGTTCGTCGCGCGCAGGCGTTGGACGCAGAGGTGGACGCGCGCGCGTTGGTCGACAAATACGCCGAAGAGGGCTTCGAAGGACTTGTGGACGTCTTGGCCGCAGAAGAGCGCCGAATACTGCGTTTCGGGTCTCTGTTCGCGAAGTTGTGCGCCGAGAGCGAGGAGGCGTCAGAGGAGGCGGAGATCCGGAAGTTCGCGAACGAACTCTTGTCGGAACCGGAAGTGGAAATCGCGAGCGTTTCGCGATTGGCGCGAATCGTGAGACGAATGTTCGCCGAAAGCGAACGCCTTTCGTACGAAAGCAGGACTTCCGTCGGCGAGCGCGCGGAGGGCCGGGAGGCGCCCGTATTCCCTCCACCGGCCGCCAAAGAGTTCATTCTTCGCGCGCATGCGTGTCGTCCGAACGCGTGGTCTCGCGCTTCTGCTCAACGCATGTATTGTTTGGTTTCGGAGACGGAAACGAGGATTTGCGGCGCGTTCTCGACGGACACCACTTATTGTTAACGCATTTTATTGTCTTTTTCTATGTTTTCAATGAATGAATAAAAATAAATACATTTTATTGGAAAAATGTTTCGCTTTTCTATCGCTTTTTGAAAGCACAGGATTTGAGAGTAATTTGTGGCAAAGATTGCGAACACTTTGCGGTCTTCTGGAACTCGAAGAACACGAAGAAGTTGTCGCTCGAGAGGTGGCGCTGTTCTCGCAATTTGAAGCCGAAGTGTTGCGTCATTTGTCGCGCGAACTGCTGTTCAGTGATTGGTTGGAAACGAGAGGCGACCTCAACAATGATGAGTCGCGCGCCCGCTTTGAGGACGCGGTTGGCTTCTGAGAGCGCGTGCGCGAGATTCGTGGCCATCAGAGAGAGACAGAAGACCGCGACGTCACACGAGTCGGCGTCCAATGGGAGCGAACACATGTCGGCTGCGGTCACGTGAGGGCTGTCGGCTACCAAATCAAACGAATGGACGAAATGCGAGGGAAAGGCGTCGCGGAGTTGCGCACGACTTCCGCACCCGATGTCCGCCACCACGAGACGGCCCGAAGTCTCGGAAGTCAGAGTCTGTTAGAGGAAGAAGTTGTGGTTAAAGGCAGTGATTTGGGAGACAAAGAGACGAACGGCGAGTCTTTGGATCACATGATTGATGGGCTTTTGCGGCCATTTGTCGGCGATCTTCTCGTAGACGGCGTGGTATTCGCGGAACGAGTCTTCGCTGAAGAAGTCGTTCGCTTCGGAGGAAGAGTGCGAATACAAGAACTCGTTTTGTGCGCGAAATCGCGAGTACGAGAGGCGAGCGCGCGATCGGGCGGCCAGTGCTTGGCTGCGGTCCTGAGGCCGCGATTTCACGGCTTTCGTGGGCTTTTCGGTCGCATTTCGGGCCAAAAGTCGTTTCAATCGTTTCGACTCTTTGGCCGAAAACGTGTTTTTGTTTTTGGTCTTCATTTCTATGGAAACGACAGCTGTTTGTGAAGAGAGTTCGCGTCTGCGCACAAAAGCCAAAGAAAACTAAAACTATTTATTGATAGAAAAAAGTTAACAAAACGGAAGTCCTTTCGACCGGAAATGAACTCAAAGTCGCGAGAAGTATCCGCCGGCGACGGCAATGGACTCTCCGGTCAAATAGGAGGAGTCGTCGGACGCGAGGAAAGACACGATTCCTGCGATCTCTTCGGGTTCGCCGACTCTGCGGACGGGAGAGGAAGTGATTGGCGGAGAAAGTGGGCCAAAGAAGACATACCTTTCGAGCGGAACAATGCGTTTGATCTCTTGGAGCGCCGTTTCGTTAGTCCAGAGCGCTTCCGAGAATTTG